CACATGTAGACTTCCTAATTACTGTAGAAAAGCACAGAAAATGACTGGTGCATGGCTGTGTGCTTTGTGATTTAGCTACAATGAAAATGATTTATATAGCAAGATGTCATTGCATTTGTTTCAGTGCTTATTGAGACTGTTATGGTAAGGTTGTTTCAGTAGTAACTTGTAACCTATACATGCTTCTTGGGTTTGTACATGGTAAATATATATGTATATTTAAACTGCATAAGAACTGTTTCATCTGTGTTATGACTACATAGTGAGAAATGGAATGAAGTGCCTTAGTACATTCCAGTTTGTCATTAATAAACTGTAAAGAGATTGAGAAAATTACAAGATTGATTTTAAAAGAAGTCCAAAATGTTAGGGAATTTGGTCTTTCAATTTACATTGAGGAAAATTCTGTTTAGAGTATTTGCTGCTTTGCCATTTTCCCAGATCATGCAAGTTACTTCCCATATTGATAAGATACCAAATTCAAAAAATAGTACAAATTTATTTATCCTTTTGATTATCATAGGAACATGATAAAATAATCATGCTTGTTGGACTCCAAAATCAATGCTTTAGTTCATGTTTTAAAAATCAGTAATTTTTGGCAGATAATAAAAAGCAGGGACTTATTTGATACAAAAATCTCTTAGTGCCTTTAAGCATGTATGTACATTATTAGTAGTACTATTATTATTTATTTATTATATATTTTTTATTATTATCATTATTATTATTTATTTTTAGATATATGTACAGAATCTCCTAATTCTTATCTTCCAATTACATTAGGATTTTATTATTTTTTATCATACATGTATGATTATTTTTTCTTATTTTTACTTTTTAATGATTTTTTTATTTGAAAGTATGTTGAGATGTAAATTTTGCATTATTTGTGATACACAAGTTTGTCACATGAAAACAGCTGGAATTTTTAGAGTAAGTCTTTTGGCCCAATAGTCTTTTGTAAATATCTGTTTTCATTTATGCTTTATTTACTTATTATTAATTTTCCTTTTGTTTCTTTACTAAAGAAATATTAAATGTTTTTCAATTAATTTCTGATAGTTTTTCTGAAATGCTATGCCCTAAGACCTTTAATGGAGAACAGTATTAAAGTTATTTTGATAAGATAAAACATAAAAATCTGTCACCTTACAATAGTATTTTATTACCAACATAAAAGAGAAAATTATTCTAATGCTTTTAGTTAACCCCTTGCCAACAGGCATGGCATGTACGTACATGTCATGCCCACTGTGAGTTTACTTGTTTGATTGTTTTTACACACAGATGGCTACACTTGTATTAAGTTACCAATGAGCCAGTTACGAGTACCGCCTGTCTCAGCCGTTCACTCTTTTCATCAATTTACAAAAATATTTATCGTTATCTTATTTTGCTGTTACAAATATTTATAACATTATAGTAATCATAATGTTTATAATAAAAATAACACCATCTATATTTATAGCACTAGTAAAAATATGTTTTTCATGCCAATTCAAGGAAAGGTGAAATTCTTTATGGCTAAGCACTAGCAGAGCCATCTAGTAACAAACAGCCCCCGGTGGCAATGGGTTAAGACTAAGTATTACAGCTGTGTAATATATCCCCTGATGTCTCAAGATGAAAGCCCTAATCCCATGCCCATTGTTGTGCCAGTTATGAATGGCCTGTGGGAGCAGTGGGTATGGTATCCTCGTTTAGTTGGCTAGCCCTTATCCCTTAAGGGGACCTAAAGCCTTACCATGGCCAGTCTTAGGGTATAGTAAATAGGGTGCATCTACCACTCTTTAAGGAGTGATTGCATTGGTGTGAGTGCCCACTGTTATGGCTGGATGCTGCTGGTGTAGTAGAGACTGACAGGAGAGCTAGAGAGGCTCCCCAGTCAGCAAAGATCTGGGCAGTCCTGTCTTGCTGCTGCTTGCTGAGGTGTGACTGGAGAACCTTGGGTTGATGATCTAGGTTCCAGATCCAGAAACTTAACCCAGATCCGCAGGGCATGGCATATTCATACATACCATACCCACTGTGAGTTTACTTTATTAATTGTTTTTACACATAGATGGCTCTACTTGCACTAAGTCACCAATGAGCCAGTTATGAGTACTCCCTGTCTCACCTGTTTACCCTTTTCCTTGAGTTTCAAAGATATTTTACATTATCTGATATTGCCGTTACTAGTGTCTATAACATTACAATAATTATAATGTCTGTAATAAAAATAACACCATTGATATTCAAGGCATTAGTAAAAAAAAGTTTTTGCTACCAATTCAAGGAAAGGTGAAATCAGGTAAGGTCCCAGGGTCTACTAACTGACTACTTTATCCCACTTGCAGATCTAGTAAGATAAAAAACGAACACAATATTTTCCCAGTAGTATTGAGTTAAGTACATGGGCTATGTAAGGAAGCTGGCAATCTAATCAGGAAGCCCATGAGGTGTCTGTGTCAACAGTAAGGTCTCAGCAGTGAGTCGCAAGAAGTATCTGCTGGTGAAAGATTGTGGTCGAGGCTGTTAAACTTGATGTGTTCTCAACCTGGGAAGTATGAGGAGTTTTAGGCTGCGCATCATGCTGCTACAGGAACACTGAGGCTTGCCCCTTTAAAGACTAGCCCTACTTGATTTCAATTATCCCAGTTTCCCAATCCTAGTTTAGTCCTAAAGATAAGTCCGATATGCGAAGCTGAGCCTAGCCCGGGCTATGAGGGGAGCCTGGCCTGTGCCAACTAATGTCGACTCGCTAACAGTGTGTCAGCTGGTGCCGACTCGGCTTAGTCCTTACCCACCGTGGTGCCCAGCCACAGCAGTAACCTCCAGGCGACAATTGCAACTTCTCGCGCCTGGGTGGGGCGCGAACTGCCGACCCCTCGGATGAAAGACCGACACGTTACCACTGTACTAGCCCAGAGGCTAGTTCAGTGCTATCTTTCACTCTGCCCCACCCCCTACCTGTCAAGGTGTTTTTACAGCCCCCACCATATCTATTCTTCCTCATCTTACATTTCCACTTATACCCCCTCCAACAATTTTCCCTCACCACTCTAACTATCCCTACAACTTTACTTAATATCTTTGCGTATTCTGTATGTTTACCTACTCCTTTCTCCATTCACATGGATACTCTTCTTTCCAATTCCCCTTTTCCCCATCTCTGACCTTTTCTGTCCATTATACTCCTCCATGGTTTATACCTTACCCCTGTATTTGTTCCTCCATTTTCCATGATCCACCAAAATCAGATATCCCTTCTGTCCTCACTCATATCCTTGACCATGTCTCCAGTATCCATGTTTACACTGATAGCTCTAAATCCCCTTCCAGTAGCCTACCCTTCTCATATATTCAAATATCCTCTCCCTCTTGAGCCCAGTGCCCTTACTATTACTATAGAATTGTATGCACATATACTCTCTTCCTTCCTCCTCTTTTACTTTTCTTACAGATTCCCTATCACTTCTGCAGTCTATGCACGCGACCATTCCCCCTAAAATTCAGCACAGGTTGTTCTATAAGTCTACACTCCATAAATCTGTCAGGTTTTGCTGGGTGCTCAGCCATGTCAGAAATCCCAGCAAAGAACAGGCTGATACTCTAACATGCTCCTTTGCTATGTCCCCATCACACCAACCCCATTTCCCACATATTCCAGCCATGGATTATTACCTTCCCTTTAAGCTGTGTTTTATGCTTGCTGTCAATCTTTCTAGACAAGTCGTCTCACCAATAAATTACATACTGTAAAAGTATCAATCTCTAATCCTTAGCCTCTTGTTGTCGTGTGGGGCTTAGGAGACTGCAGGGAGAATGTAGGGGATCAACTAATTTTACATGGTCTATTCTTCTCCCCTTTTTTTCCTTCTCTTTTTCATCTCCTTCTGCCCCCTTCCTAAGGTGTGAGAGCCATGCTGAAAGGATGAAAGGCTGGTTTTGTGTCAGTCATGAGCAGCCTCCAGGAGCTATGGGACAGCAATTCCCTTGGTTAATCACCGAGCCCTTACTCCTCATGGGGACCCTGAGGGGTAGACAGTTTCCTCTCTCCATTTATTTCAAGTTCACGATGGCCAATAATGAAGATTTTTTACCCTTATTGGGGCATTAAGGCTTGCCCTTTTATCACTTAGCCTATTTAAATTGATTTCATTGGTTTCCTGATCCCTGCATCTCCTTTGAGCACTGCTTTTTATATTCTCACCATTAACCAGGTCAGCCCCATCACAAGATGGCTCTTGCCCACTTGTGTATTGGCCACACCCACCTTACGCACTCATATCTCATGTCATGTTCTGATCTGCCCCTATGTTCCCTGTAATGTTCCTCTTTTAGTTCCACACATTTTGTTGTCCTTATACATGCTTTACTGCAACCTGCACCTCTGCTTTCCCTAACCTATCCTCCCTTCCCTTACGGAATCCCACACTTTCTCCTTTGACAACTTGTTCTCTTTCCTCAGATGCATACATATCCTTCACTTGATCTAATTCCCTCTTTGCTTTCCTACTTTAACCCCTGTACTCCTCCCTTCCACCTTTACCTATCTTTACCTTTTCCAGTATCAACCAACTGCTGTACGACTGATGATATATAGGATCAAATTATTAACTCACCCCTCTCTCTAACCTTTCTGATACTATGCCTTCCTATAGTACTACATAACCTTTGATGTCTAGCACATTTACTTTGCTTTTAACCATGAAGATGAAAGTCAATAACAAACAAAAGGCAACATCACAATAGAAAACTAATTAATCTGAAATATTAATAATTCAGAGTTAACCTTTTATGCTTATGTTGTATTTAAACTTTTGTAATTAATATTTTATATTTATTATTTTGCTAAGTTATTCTTAATGTTTTCACCTGATTTCTGTGTGTGTCTGATCTTGTGTTTGTGTTTCATTTGTAATATTTTATTTCAAGTTTGAAGTATGATGGAGAATGAGAGAAAAATAAATAGGATCTTTATAATCATAATTTCCATAATCAAACAAATCAAA